TGCATATATATATATATATATATATATATATATATATATATATATATATGCATTTGCCACTCACTTGAATGCCAAACTTCCTTCATTCCAGTTCCTCACCTCTCAGCTCTGAGAGTGGATGCTTTCAGTCAAGAATGGAGGGGTTTTCACCTATAATGCCTACCCTCTGATCAGATTCCTCTCCAGTCATTTCTCTTATCCAGACCACTCCTTGTGTTCTGCTGGTTACTCTGTATTGGCTGGCTCAGGCATGATTACCTCTGCTCTGGCACTTACTGGAGCAATAGCCACTGCCCTTCCCTGTATTTTGATTGCTCCTCTGACAACCGTGATAGGATGTATTTCATTCCAACATCACCAAACTCCATCTTCATATATGGCTTTTGTCCAGTCCCTTGCCTCAGCTCAGGGACTCATCTTTTGTGTAGTGTCTTTCCTTGCCCATACCATTCTTCCTTCTCTATGTACGAAAGGCATTGGCCTTACTTCAGGCTTTGTTCAAATTTGCTTCTGACCATCCCATCCTTCTGTTCTTCATCTGTCCTAGTTCTTCACTTGGTTGTTTGTCTGTTTCAACTGTTGCTTGTTATATATAGGGCTGCCCTGTTGAACACCATCTATTCTCCCACTTTCGGAAAGCCTTCTCTTCCCTGGTTATTTCCCTCATTTTTTGTTCCTTTCATCTGGCCCATCCACCACATCTTTGTTTTGCCAGATTTGGATCTCATTGTTGTCCTTCATGCCTTGTCCGGGTTCTCTCCTTTAACCCATTGCAATGTGTTCCTTGTACCATCTTTCCCTTAAGATCTATTTCCTTTCTCTCCTGGCATCTAGTCTTCATCATCGTTCTGATATTTATACCATTAACTCTTCTGACATGGGGTCGGTCACTTTGAACGAGTCACGTGGCCTTCTGTACTCGTTTAAAGTTGACATAAATATAATACTTATAACTCTCTATATATTGGGTATATCTTCACGAAATTTGGCAGTCTTTCAGTTAATATTACAAGTCTTTCACATACAAAAAGTCATATTTCTTAGTGAAGTACTTTTAATAAAATTAAGTTTTATCCATGAAAATATATAGAGTATTTGTTTTGAATAGTCTGTGTGCAAAGTAATTTTCACGTTAAAATTAAAAATACTTTTCGTCATCTCAAAAATCTCAAATTTCCTATGTGTAATCCCTAAAACCTCCTAAATGCAATTCAAACTTTTTTTCCACTAAATCCTTATACTTTTTATGTTATTTTCTCTACCCTATCTCAAAAATTTAACCGACCTCGACCTCGTAACCACCAAAAAAAATCTAAATAAATCTAAATTAACCTTCTTTTCTTTCTAGTATGACTTCAAATTATAACCTGAAACTACATTCGTTTATCCTAAGTAGCTTTTAGTTCGTAACATTATACGTCTATTTATAATTAGATTTTATTGTTTTATTGCCCTTTGAACAATATCTTAACTGCTGTCCCCGCCATTATAAGTTGTAAATCACTCGGGAAAACATGCAGCTCACGTTAAGCTATCGAATTACATTACCCACAAGCTAATTGAGTGTGTGCCTTGTGAACCATTTTAATTATATTATTTTATTACTTATTTAAGACTAGATTAGGTAAAATAACTTGAAAAGATCCACACTTTTAATTTTAGTTACTTTTATAATAATAA